ATGTTCAAAAAACGATTTTCGATACTTTCGTCGCTTAGGATTTGATTGAGGACGAATTTGCCGGCTTCGGCGGCAAGTCTTGACCAGTCTCGTCTAACAATATCTAAACCTTTGTACTCAACATCGGTCTTCAAGCCCCCATCTTTGCCCCTACTTAGAGTCACAGCGGCGTATTTCTTCTTCTTCAATAAAAGAAGATATTTGAAGACTCCGTCGATGTCGAGCTCGACTTGTCGGTACAATTTATTGATCTCTTGCTTGATTTTTGTACCAATTTGGGCGACTTCATCAAAATCAATTATATTTGTGTTGATCATAAGACTGTCAGTGTCCCCGTAAATCACTTCAAAGTTCATTTTCTCGACTAAGTCTTTAGTATTTGTTAAAATCTCACGGCCTTTATGGGTGATCAGGGCTGCCAAATTTTTAGCGTAAAACCGCGAATTGGCGAAGCCTAAACACCCATACATACTATTAGCGGTGAGTTTCAACGCCATCTGTCTTATGTCGTATTGCATTCTTTGGTCGGGGCTCAAATCGGGGTTTTTCATCAATTGTTTGACCACTCGTCGACTCTCCACTAGTTTTTTTATTTCAGTGGGGAGAACACCACCTGGGAGGCTCTTATCAGGGAGTACCATATTGTCTTCAGCTAAATGCAAAGGCATCGTGGTGAAACAAATGTTGTATTCTTGAATAATGCTCGGATATAGCGAATTAAAGTCCATTAGGAGGATCAACTTGTCGTAGAAACCGATTTTGGGGTCGAGGACTAAACCCCCGGAGTAGGAGGCCTTTTTGTTGGAGGATTTCTCCGTGAAGCCCCTTTTCCCGGAGGATTTGTCGGGGACAATGTACCCCTTTTCGGTGAAGGCGTGGAGGAGGAGGTATTCGTTGCGTTCGGATCGCCCCCCCATCAAAGTCTTCGACATGACATTGCCGGCGATATTCGTGATTTGGAGGGCCAAGGGAATTATATTCAAATTGTACATAATTTTCAAAATGAAAGCTGTGTCTTGCATCGTTAAGGATACAAGTTTGAGGAGCTCCTCCTTCGTTTTGAACATTTTAAGAACATCGTCGGGTTCCAAATCGGTCCTTTGTTCGTCTTTTATTTTCAAGATTGTTTGACACAAACTTCCCAAGTCATACGATCGACATCTGATTAGTTCCTTCGCTGCGGTTTTAACATCGCAAACGAGTCGACCAACGAATAATTCTTTTTCGATTTTTTGGCGTGAAACAGTCGCTTTTCTAATGCGTCCCAATTTACTGAAATTTGCGATTTTGTGGTGGAATATTCGGTCGGCTAGGACGCTTATTTGGTGGCCTTGTAGGTCGTGACCAACGACTATGTCGCTGTCTAGTTTCGCAAATTGGGTGATGAAGTAGTTCAAAAGGGCTTTTTCCGAATTCATTTTTTGCAATGTTGTTATTTTACAATCCTGCATCGCATTGAACAGGTCCGATATGAGGACTTGGGTGTCGGGACAGTAGAAAACTAAAAAAAAAAAATTCAAGATTGAAAAACTCAGATAGGGAGGTTTTTGAAGTTGACATAACGCAGTGCCGTGTAAGCTTATTCAAAAAATTAAATTTCAACTTTGCTTTAGTTAAATTTTATCGTTTTGATAGTTGCTGATGTAGCTTTGATAAAAAAAAGAAAAATCATTTGTGTTCTTACAAAAGAAGTAAAGTTAGGTTATTATAATTACTGAAATTGGACCTTGCACCGGTTCAGGCTGAATACAAAATGGATAAAATAAAAAAACAAAATTAACGCTAAAAAGTGTCGTTACAAAATTTTAATAACTCCAATAAGTTGTAGCCCTTTTTAATTCACTTGCGTTTGTTTGTGTTGTTTTCTTATGGTTTTTAAGGTGACATATTTACAACATTTTACAAGTTCCGAAGCTTCTAAACACCAAACATTATGTTTTTTGAATTTTGCTATAAATGCAAAAAAAGTGGAGATAGCGTTAGGGACCTCATTTCATTTAGCAAAGTTACTTTGTTACGCCACTGCTGTGTGCCCCCTCTAGGCTCCGCCCAGGTGTGTACTTTTGACTTTTACCCCACTCTACATACTATAAAAAACCTTTACCCTTTTTCATATTAATGTGCATCAAGTAGGTTATAGAAGTCTAAATGAATCTTTAATTTAAAGGCCGATTTACACAAAGAGTCATTCAGAACAAATTTTATCACAGTAATGAAAAAAAAAACAATAATGTTTTCCTATGTTAATTACGTTGTTGATTTTAATAATTTTTTGCTACATGGGGTACACATTTATTTCAAAAAATAATTTTTAGGGAAGATTGAGGTTAAAATTGTTTGAATTTTCGCATGGTTGCCACCTTAAAATGATCTCTTTTAACGACTACTTTGATGCACATTAATATGAAAACGTATACATTGTGCACCTTAATAAAAACCAATAATTTTAATTCAGAATATTTTATGTAAACTGTTATAAAACAATATATAAAAGGTGTCTCGCAAGACAAGTTTTGTGAAACGAGCAGCGAAGCGCGCCTTTTATACAGTGCGATCAAAAAGTCTTTCTATCAAGTAGGCGTCCTAGTTGAAGACGTATGTTGCATGGCAGTTCGTATGTTATCTAGATGTCAAAAATTATTTTATAAAAATTAAAGATTGAGTTAATTAAAATGAATTATTTTATGAAACGGCTCAAAATATCCCAAAATGGAATTTTGTTGGTGTTTATTCATAAAAATCATTCACCACTGTTTCCTGTTATAATTTACATAAAAATTATTTTGACATTTCTCATTTGTCATTGTGACATTTTATCTTCCACAGACATACGTTTTAAATTTCTACGCTTGCTTGATAGACAGACTTTTTGATCGCACTGTATTATACAGGGTGAATATAAAGTATGGAACCAAGCGGTTTAGTTTTAATCATTTGCCTCCAGAAAATAATAATTAGTATAAATTAAAGTAATATTAAAAATGTGATCGTATTTTCAGAACGAAATTTTGTTTTGTTTTTGGGTTATGCGATTTTTTTTTTTGTTAACATTGCAATTTATGTGAAAAATTTTTTTTGAAAAAATTAAATATAAAGTAGATAGTTGTAATCCTTAGAGTATAGCTTTTATGAGAAAAATGATTTTATAGTAGGTTGCCATTTAAAAAAATATTTTTTTTTTGTAAAACTCAAAAACAAAAGGAAATTTCGAAAAATTTTATTCTTGTTTTTATAGTACTTTATCACTCATCAATTAGTTTTTCCAAAAAATAAATAGTTTAAGCAAAAAACGTTTGGTTCCATACTTTTTATTCACCTGGTATAATATGAGTTCCCACAAATGACTTATGAAACGAGTTTTTTTATGCAATTTTTTCTATTTTACGCGTTTTACATACAGTTACGAAATTAAAATTTCGGGCACTATTTTTCTGTCACTTTAAAAAGTTCACCTTTTACTGTCATCATGACTGACATTTGACAATTAAATTTTTCTATCAGTGACGCTATTTTTTAAGTCAAATTGACATAACCATGACAAGAGTAAAAATGAGGTTATTAATGTAAAGCTTGTTTTAGAGTTTACATTGTGAAAATGACAATACTGCCCGAAATTTTAATTCCGCAATTGTACTTTTTCAACATTAAAGTCAATTTTTCAAAAATTAGGAACTTTTGCCCTAATAAGGTGGTGTTTGGTAATGTCACAAAGTTTGAAAAATTCGATTATGCAAGTGTCAAATCTCGAATATTTTTCAAAATTTTGTTAAATTAACAATCAATACTGCAAATATTTCATGCACACCACCTGAAATAAGAGAACGCTCAAAACGCCGCTAAAAATCACCATTAACAACCTCTAGGAAGCATATTGTACTAATCTATTTCAGCACCCAAATTGGTGTTTTTAGTATCGAAAAAATAGAAAAATTTTAATAAACTTTTTCAACTTGAAAACATGGTGTGTATATCTGGTTGCCTAACCTTGGTTTTTGGATACCTCTCAAAATTTCAACTTACCACAGCAATGTTTCTGAAAAGCTTCGCTAGGTGCTTGCTTATCCACCGAATAACTGGTATTAGTGACAAGACTCAGCATCACAACTTCATTTAGTCCCGTTTTAGGGTTAAAAGTCTTTCTCATATTAAGTGCAGTGACGACCAAAGGTGGTGGCTCAATCATTTCGTCACATATTGAAACATCGGAGATTTTGTCACAATTTACATGCAAATTGCACCAAGTTGATGGATTCGAATCCGGTATAGCATTCGTGATATCCAACCAACACGGTCCTTTGATCTTACGATCGAGTAAAAAAATTTCAAGATATGAAGTATCGGTACCAAAAACTCGTGAAAACGTCCTCCCTTGACTGGTTTTAGCAATTGGAGGTTCTTTAGCCGAATATCTAACTTCAATATAGTCCGACTCTAAGGGCACTTCGCGATCAAAAGCGTATTTTTTCGTGATGGGCCGAGCCTTGAAATTTTTAATCCCATTATTTTTCATCAATTCATTGATTTCGGTGTAGACGTCCTGGGACGTGACCGGATTCCCCGTCTTGTTTTCCTAAAAAGGGAAAATAAGAAAAAGCGTGATTTGTTTTAGTAAAATCACCTTCAGTCTTGGTAAAAAAAAAATCCTCCTGTCGATATTGCGCACAAGAACACTACAACTCACGAAGGTTTTCGTTTCTGTGTGGTAAGTCTTGCCAAATAAGACAACGACGCCCGGTTGTGTGAAAGAGTCTTCGTAAGCGTCCCACCAGAAAAATCTGAAAACGCTCTTGTCGTTGACTTTAACAAGAGGAAGGTCCGAATTTTGCAAGTCGATTGTGGTTTCGGTGTCTTGAGACACGGACCATTCTTCTAACATTTTCTTTTCAATATTTTCCCAAGGATCTTGCCGTTTGTCTTCAATTTGGGGGGTTTGAGATTCTTCGAATTGAGACAGGTCCAAATCGTCGTCAAAACAATCAACGACTTGTTCGCTACTTTGAGTTTCTGGTAAAATTGTTTCTTGTTGTAAATCTTCTGTTGGTATCTTGAGTGGTTTTTTCATTGGCGTTTTACTGAGAGTTATGATTGGTTTTTTCGCGGAAGTTAGCTTATTCATGTAGTCTTTTTCGGCTTGTTTCACCGACAATGGGGAGAAATTTGCCGGTTTGGATTCACGTGGAGTTTCATTAATTTCTTCCAAAAGCTCGGCCAAATCATCATCTTGCTCCAACTTTTTTTCCTAAATTAACTAGTAAAACACGTTGTTGAATCACCGAAATTAACAAACCTCTTTCTTCTTTGTTGGCATATTCGAGATGAGATATTGTAAATTTCCGCGACCTGCGTTCTCCGCCACATTTTTCTTCCGTTTCACACCTTTGGTTTTTTTGGAAGAAGCTGCAGCTATTGAAGCATGATCCAAATCATCGTCGAATATATCGCGACCATCCTCCACATAACCGCTACCATCTTGTAACAAATTACAATTAAAAATACGAATATTTCGGGGTGAAATAATACCGTCGTCGACGATCCAATCGTCGTCCTGACGATCCAACACTTTTTTCGTGTACTCCCTCTCATCAACTGTGTCGTAAACATTTTCGAGTTCCTCAACTTCGTATTTATTTCGAAGGCCACTTTTTAGTTGCTTGAATTTTTCGAAAGCTTTGGCTTTGTATGAAGAGTCTCTCTTTGCCCTCTTGGGCCGTCTTTCGCCTAAAACAAAACCGCCGAAATTTAACTAAATTACAGTTAGTAACAACTCACTGGTGTCGTCTTCCATTCTAATTTAAAGACAGTAGTAGAGTTTTTATGAAAATAAATTCAGGCATTAATTTGGCGGGAAAGTTTTGGATTCTAACCTCACAAATATTACAGTATCGTAATTATTTTTATGTTGGTACTGACACACTCCTATTTTGAGCGGTCTTTTTAAAAAAAAATCATAATTTTAGACAAATTTCTTTATTCCCTTTCGTACAAATTCTGATATCTCATTTTGGTTTGAAGCACGTCATCCTCAGTGGTAATAATAGTTTGTGGGGGTATTAAAGCACCAGCAACGTGTCTTCCTTCAGAAGTTAAAAAATTAAAAGTTGCACAAGCTTGTTCCGTAGGGAGAATTTCAAATGTTAGTTTGTGTTTGCGCGCAAATGGTACAATTTTTTTATAGAAACTGAAATCTTTTTGTGGGTCTCCTACTCCTAAAACAATTATATCTAACTTGGGTTCTAATATAGTAAATAAAGCAAGTGATTCATCTGTTATCTCGTTTATATCACCAACAGTCCATGAAAGAACTGATCTAAAAAAAATATTATTAAAATTGTAGTTAGAGAACCGACATTATACCTGGGAAATATTACAACTGAACCTAAAATTGTTAAATCATTATTTAATCTAAAACCCACCTAAAAAAATAAAAAACTAGCTTGACATTACGCAATTGAGTATTGAATATACTTGACTGAAGCCGTTGATCATTAATCCCAACTCGTTTTCATTATTTAGTATGTTTACGGTTGTTTTTCCTTCAGCTTCGTAAGCCCCATTTACTTTTGGACTTGCATACAAAAAACGTCTAAAACAAAAATGAGGTTTTACAAAACGGAATACACGGAATTTCAACTAGCCTAATCGTATAATTTGTTGCTAATTTGAACAAATTGACACTTTGTTTAAACATTCTTTCTGGAATGTGAGGTTATGTAATTTAAAAACGCATTGGCGTGGAAGGGGTAAGATTCCATAGCAAGGCACTGCAGATTTTAACTGGTAGTAAAAGTAGACAATGTTTTCTCTGTTGTATTAAAAGTTGCCTACCGCAAACAATTTTTTTTAAATATGCACGTAATTTTCTCGTTTTTTATTAATAATTACAATTGTAATATGCTTAACAGTATTAATGTTTTTTTTAATTTTTTTTTTTCATCAGAATTAAATGACTCAGTGACGACATTGCACATCTTGTGACAAAATATCTTTTTTTATGAACTCTTGATTGCTTATTTGTACAAAACACTATTTTACAGGGTTTTGTGTTTTAATGTGATTGTTTTAGATATTTTTATTTGTTTAATGACGTTTTTTTTTAAAGTTTTGTTCAAAATTTAATTTCAAACCTTTATTAAAAAAAACAACGCTTCATTTACATTTTTTTGAAATCAAATATGTCACAAATTTAAACTTTCTATATAAAGAAAAAGAATTCTGTGTTACACGGGATTCCAGTGGCCAAAAACGCCCCTTATTTAGTAGTATTGTGATGCACAGGTGTATTGATGATTGCATAATCTAGAACGTCATTTTTGGCAGTATAGCCAACTCAAAGAAATAAAATTCACCAAATCGTTTTTTGGCAGGAGTTTGAAAAAAAAAATAAAATTGCATTTATTTCAGGCAGCACATTAAAAAATAATACATATTTTACCGACACAGTCCCATGTTATTATTAAATATGTGTTCCTATGTGTAACAAAGCTGAATATTTTTCGACTAAATAGGCGCAAGACGCTACTTTATACAATATAATCTCACTGAAATGTAAAATTTGGATAAAATAAACAAATAAATTTTAGGCGTGCTATGAATGCGTTTTCATGTGAGTGGATAGGGGTCCGGTTTGTGAAAACGCTTTATTACAAATATTGCAAGTGTACGGTTTTTCCCCTGTGTGGATTCTAAGGTGTACTTTTAGAGTTGAAGCTTGATAAAAGCCTTTTTTACAAAAGGGACAAATATGATTTCTATCTCCCGTATGAGTTTTTATATGAATTCGTAAATCTTCGCTTCGGGGGAAAGCCTTAGGACATAGATTGCACTGATAAGGTTTTTCGCCAGTATGTATTCTTCTGTGTTTTTTTAACTGAGATGAACTGACACAACCGCGACCACAAACGCTACAAACGTAGGGTTTTTCGCCACTGTGAGATCGAACGTGGACTGTGAGTCTCGACGGATCGGGAAAACCTTTTCCACATTCGTTACAAACGTAAGGACGTTCACCTAAAAGTACATAAAACGCAAGGAAAAATTACCAAAAGTAAAGCAACCTGTGTGGGTCCTTTTATGTATGGTTAGATTGCTGGGGGTGGTAAAACCTTTACCACAGTAGGGACAAATGTGGTCTTTAATGCCTGTATGAGTCTTCATGTGCATCGCGAGAGAACCAGAGCCGCACAATCTAGAATTTTAGTTTTGTTTAAAAAAAAATCATGTTTTTTTAAGGCTAAAGGAGACGACAAAGTATATTGAAATTTACTTGGATGTTTTTGATCCAATTTTAAATCAAAAAATTGAATTCAGTTTTAAAGACATTTAGAATTTTAGCAAACGTAACACTTTTTTTTATTCAAATTTATATAAATATTCATAATATTTTAAAAAACGCCTAGGGGAAAGTTGTACTGTGGTGATACGATTAGAATGCGACCAAAAAACTGAAAAAATTATTATTAGTTTTTAACGAAAAGCGAATATTCATTTCACTTTGACAAAATTTGTCTGTGTTCAGTTCAGTTACATTCAAATAAAAAAATACAGAAGTGGAACAGAAAGTAATAAATAAATGCCATAACTTTTTTCAATGTAAAAAAATTTGAAATCAATAAAACGCTATTTTTTTTCTATTCTTTTTCTGTTTTCCTTATTTTCATTGACATGCACAGCCTAGGATCTAGTATTTCTGGTACTAAGGCCTTTTGGTAAAAATATTTTATCTTGGGTAAATTTTTTTCTCATAACTTGGGATCCGGAAAAATACGATCAATAGAAATATTTTGTTCTGCTCATAAAATAAAATCACAATTTTTTTAATTGAGTTTGGACCTGGTAAAAATAATCGTGTTGTTTTTTCAATTTATTGTTTTTGTCTAGACAAAAATGAGGTCTATCTCTTATGGCTTCTTCGATGGTTTTATTTTTTGCAAAAGAAGAACAATGAAAGGAAAGGGAAACTGAAATATTTTCTACATGATTAAATTCTTTAAATTTTGTCTGTGGTATTTGTGAAAATAGAATAATGATAAAGTTGACAGGTTTTGAATAATTAACATTTTAATATTGAAAATCTGAAACTTGGAATAATGAGAGGGTTTGCGGTAATTAGTGATGAAGCCAGAATTTCTTGAGAAAAGAAAAAGTTTCGCAATGACATTTATGACGTACCCAAGCTCTATTGTGAAGCCTCCACTCTATTGTCAATAAATTTCCAGAATTCCCACTTTTCAATATTAAAATGTTAATTACCCAAAATCTATCAACTTTTACATAATCCAATTTTCATAGTGACCATTAGAAAAAAAATCAAGCAATTTTATCATGTGGAAAAGATTCCAATTAATTATTTTTTTTTCCAAATTTGATTTTTAAAGTCCCACTGACTTACGCTAAAAATTTTAAACAATATTAAAGCATCAAATTGAAGTCTATTAATCTATGGTTTGCACTAGCAATTTTTTTTTTAATTAATTAGAAATATTTATTTTTGCACCGGCCCTAAAACCTGGGACACTCTGTACAGAAACGACCGAACTAAGGGAGCCCAAGAACTGGTTTTTCTTCTTTTAATTATTTTTCCTATTTTCGAGGCGGTGACTGAATTCAAATCGGATTGTTTGCAGTTTTCTCCGTAGTCTTCTTGGTCGTTTTTAGTAGGTAACATTTTATTTTTTCTAGCTTCTTTCAAAGAGAAAAAATTCACTCACGCAATATTGTGGCCAATTATTGGTTCCCCAAAATCATCATCAACAATGTTGTTATCACCTGCTGAAGCCCTAATCATTTTCATAGTCAAATGTCAACTTAATCGCGAATTCAAATATTTGTTTGTTTGTAATTAAATTAGGTAAACTGACCTCAGGAAATTTGGTATAAGTTTGCCTTATTTAAAAATACCGTATTCTTGGGTGGTGGCTGCTTCCAAAATGATACAAAATTCGCGTTTTGATGACTTTCCCGTTATCGAATTTGAAAAATAAAAACACTTTTCTTTTCAATAAAAAATGGTGATTCGTCGCCCTACCTTGTTTTTTCGAAAACATTTTATATTATACCTGTTTTTAATATTTTTTTAAAAAAAAAAAAAAACAAAAATTAAAAAAGTGTTACGTTGGCGAGTTTTCAAATAATATTTTATGTCCGAAACTTTTTCCAATTATATACAGGGTGTTCGGTCCAAGTCGCCCCGGCCCAAAGCACCTAAACTTACTTTTTCTTTCAAATATTAAATTTTCAAATAATACTATTCATTCCTCGTTTTCTTAGTAAATGCATCAAATTTTTTTAGCACATCCGGTGTAGCCGGAAATGTTACCAAATTTAGTTTTTCAAATGAAACACCTATGTTTTTTTGCTCGAAACAATAATAATTGGCATGAAAAATACGGTAAACCATTATTTATTACATTTTACTTTACATAATGCACTCAGAAAACAATATAATTTTTGAATTTTATTGCAAATTTTGCAACGTAGGCGTATTTTACTTGTTAAGGTATTCATGCAAAAAGCAATATGCTTGGATACCGTTTAATTGTTAGTTTGACAAAGCCTAATTTGTCAATAAATCTAATTGAGATCTTTAATAATGGATGATATTAATTACGACCAATTGGTAGATCAGCTTGAAGTGTTTTTAAGTGCAATAAAAATAGAGCGGAAGCTGAAAGACAGTTTAGAGAAAAATACCCAAATCGTTGGAAATTTAGTCGAATTGGAAAACAACTGAGACGAATAGGTTCGCTTCTTAAAAATAAAAAAACCTGTGGTTCTTTGTGAAGAACAAGAAAATAGAAATCTGAATGTTGTGTTATCAGTTGAAGAAAATCCAAGAGTTTCCATAAGATCACTCGCTTATCAAATGACAAATTAGATTTGTCAAACCAACAATTAAACTGTATCCAAGTATTTTTTTATTCACACCTTTCTTTTAAAATTAAAAATCAGGCTACGCGACTAATTTCCTTATAAAATTCTATTTTAAGATGTTTTCTGATTGCATTGTGTTACGAAAAATGTAATAAATAGTGGTTTACAGTATTTTTCATGTTGTTTGGAGAAAAAAAAACATAGGTGTTCCATTTGAAAAACTAAATTTGGTAGCATTTCCGGCAACACCGGATGTGCTAAAAAAATTTAATACATTTATTAAGAAAGCCCAAAATGAATATTACTACTTAAATATTTAGAGAAAATAGAAATATAAATTCCGCGCCATCTGCCGCTTTAGCAACAAACTAAAACATGTCCCCCTTTAGCCTTAAGTGTTTCATACCTTTTGCCACAAACGCCACAAGCGTGGCTTTTTATACCGCTATGTGTCTTATTATGGGCCGCTAAACTTGTGTACCGTGAAAACGCTTTCCCACAAACTGAACAAATAAAACTCTTTTCATTTGCGTGCGCCCTCATGTGCTCCAACAGACGAAACGATTGCGCAAACGATTTCCCGCATAATTTACAAGGGAAGGGCTTTTCACCAGTGTGCGTTCTTATGTGTCTTGTGAGATCATCCGATCTTGCAAAACCTTTACCACATTCACTACATAAATGTCTTTTAGCGCCGTCATGAACCTTCATATGTCGACACAAAGTGCTTGCACTTGCAAAGCCTTGATTGCAGATTTTGCAAATGTGTCTGCTAATTTTTGGATGAGTTTTCGAATGGGCCTGCAACTTATTTTTTTGAGTACTTGTCTTCAATTGAAACATTGGAACAAAACCTTTAAATCTATCATTGTTGTGAAACATTGGGTGCATTCCTCGCATGGATAAATCGGTTGTTCAGTGTCGTCTCTAATTTTCTTTTTCTTTGATTCTCTTTTAGCTCTGAGTTCGTTTATCTTGCTTTCTGAGTCGCTACCACAAGAATCTGGATCAACTAATGGAAATTTATCAACGTATCAAGAATAAAAAACCATTTACTCACTTCCTAACACGTCATTGTCCACGAATTCTAGTTTCATTTTCATTTCTTGAGACCCTTCCGACTTGAAAGAATCCCCAACATCTATACTGTTTACTGTTGCAACTGCAGTGTTTAAAGCTTCATTAACGGAATCTGTTACAGCTTGTATGTTTTCCGTGACGGTATTTATAACATCATTAAAGGAGGATTCGTGTTGGTCATTGGACAATAAAGGTTTTAATTCCATAAAAGTGGCCTGCATGGGTTTGCCTAAAAGTTGCCGCAGTGTTGCATCGGATCTTTCGCATAATTGTTTAAAGGAAAAAGCACGAGTTATATAATGAACACATTGTAGACACACTTGAGTGGGTAATCCGTCGTTTTCCAAAACCTGAAAAACACTGAAAATGGGGCTCAAATGAGACAATTTCGGATTTACCTGAACTGCAGCACAAGACATTAACATTTCAAATAGTCGCATTGTTTCGCCGATAGATTCATCGATGCTAAACACCGACCGCATGTCACCTTCCTCAGAAAGACACGTTCTACAGATTTTCTCAATTTGGAGTGTTTCGAAAGACATTTTAAAAAAAGTGTTTGTTTATTAATTTAGGTTATTTTGGTGATTGGCAGACATTTTGTGCACACCATAAACCAAATACAAACCAAGATGTTAGGCAACCAGATATACACACGTTTTAAAGTTGAAAAAGTTTTATTAAAATTTTATAATTTTTAACAGTTATTATAACTGGAATTATAATTGGTGTTGATTTTTATTAAGGGTCCAAACTGTAGGAACATTAGTTCAAAAGTAACAATAGTTGAGGCCATCTGTAATAAACGAAACTTGTTTTTTGTATGTAGAGTAGAGTAAAAGCCAAAAGTACACACCTGAAACAAAGCAGTGGCGTAACAAAGTAATTTTGCTATATGAAATTAGTAGGATCCGTAACACTTTTTACTTATAGTTTTTGTTTCTTTTGCATTTACAGTAAAATTCAGACTTGGTAAAACATAATGTTTAGTGTTTAAAAGCTTTGGAACTTTTGCTGTAAAATGTGGCAAATGTATCACTTTAAAAATCATTAAAAAAAAAACAACACAAGCAAACTCAAGTGACTTAAAAAGTGCCACAAGTGCAAAACTAATTTAAATTAAAACCTCGATTGAAACTTTGTGGTAAAATATTTTTGCAAAAATTTTGTAACTACATTTTTTAAACTAACACTTTGACGATTGTAACCACTCAGTGTTGCAAAATTTTTATTTTATCTATTTTAAATTCAGTTTGAACCGGTCCAGAGTCCAGTTTCAGTAATTATAATAACATAACCTTACTTCTTTTATTAGGACACTAATGATAATTTTCTTTTTTTGCTAATAAATTTCTTAAAATGATAGAACTGAACACCAGTTAAGACATAAAAACACCAATAATCTATCAAAACGATAAAATTTAACTAAAGTTTGACATATTATTAAAAACTGCAGTTTAAATTTAATTTTTTAATGAGCTTTAAATAGTTTCTTTTTTTGTCCTTTTGCAAATATTACAAAAATGAAGCAAATCTGCACGGCACTGCTTTCTGTCAATTTCAAAAACTTCACTACAAATTTGTCAACAAGAAATTACCACCTAGGATTTGAATTTTTAGGAAAATCACTTTTTTCATGTTTTTTGTAACTAGAATTTTCTGAATTATTTTGAATGCTTAGAGTTGGTTACCCCTTGTTTTTGAGGGTTGACGTTTTTTGTCAACCTGTTGTCAACTATCAATTGAGTTATCATTACAAGCTGACAGGTGACTTAACCTACATTTTTGACACTAGTTACGAAATCTTTGTTTGTCATCACAACAACTAGGAGTAATTTCTCAGGTGTGTACTTTTGGCTTTTACTCCACTCTAAATAAATTTTTAAATAAATTATAAAATAAAAATTTATTAATTTTTACCTTTAAAAGAAAACTTCTAGTCAGAATAAAAAATTTCGAGCCTGATATTCCCACAGGAGAAGAATTTATTTGTTGAATAAGACGGCTAATCTAAAATAAAAACGCAAAATCGTGTTAAATACTTCTAATTTCATTCATTACCTCCTCACAATAGTGTTCTGAAGGGACCGAATGAAGAATTTCTAGTGGTTTTCTACTTTCGTCATTAATCCAAGCTCCGTAAAGTATAACAGCGATTGTTCTAGCTACGAGGAATCCAAAAGAGAAAAAGTAGTAAATTGTTTCGATAGTACCGACACGAATTCTAAAATAGTTTTGTGAATAAATTGTGAAAAAAAATTAAATTTCTACTTTAAACTGTTGTATAGCTGAACGCATATAAAAAAAGCATTGCTAACAAAAGAAATCACGACTAAAGCAGCCACATTTCTGTCAACAACTGCAGTTAAGTGTGCTAGCTTGTTGTAATCTTCTCTAATTTCTTTCCAAAATTTTTCATGCATCATTTTATTGTTTTTGAGTCTGTGATTGATTTGAGCGAAGCGGGAGGCGAGTGAGCAACTTATTAAAATAATGAATAAATCTGTGTAATTCCAAGTTGCAGTTGATAAAATGTTAGCAATCTGAAAGTATAGATAAACAAATTGACTGAATATTTTACCGTCTCACTTCAACAAAACATGCTTTCCAAAGGGAATAATCTATAAGTGTGAAAACTGAAGGAAATGCAACACGGAAGTAAATCTCATCTCCACTATACAAAGTGGCATTTGTGCAATTCTGGCTCGTTATAAAAGCATTTGCAATAAATAAAAGATGTTCCACTGTAAAAACTGCATAAAAACCTGAAAATAAGCTGTGAAACTCACCTAAAGCTAAGGTCATAATCACTGAAGTCATCACAACGAATCTTTTTTTCATACTAATCAAAGAACCATAACTTCTCATTGATACTTCCATAAAAGACCATTCTTTCATAATCGTAGCCCAATGTTTGCTAATTATAATAAATTGAATACCTCCGAAAAAATTGAGGACGTAAAACGACATCGTGGCTAAAACGTCGCAAAAATTTATTTAAAAAAATAATTGACGCTTAAATACCTGTTTTGTCCAACATAAGCCCATCCAAAGCGAATTTCAAAATACAGAAAAATCCCATAATGAAAGCCCCGAAAATGTTGTAAACGGCATAAACAAATCGAAATGATTTCCACTCTAGTCGAATTTCTTGCACATTTTTTTTAGTTATTCCATGTAGGGGCATAATACCGAAAAATTGCCCGAATATTATTACAAACGCGAATGTTTGGTGAAAATTAGTTTGGGGGTAAGCCAATGATGGTTCAATCGTGAGGGCTAAATCAGATTTCATCTTTTTTATTAAACGCATTTTACGCAAAGTGAAAGCAAGACTGGAAAAAATGACGTGCTTGTGGGCTTTTTCCCCGGATTTATTGTTGACTAATGTTATCGCAATATCGGTCAAAAGCAAAACATTTGCTTTTTAATCATCTCTTCTATTCGTGATGAATATTAAAAATTGTACAAATATTGATAAAAAGATTGTTAAAATGATTTTTATATGCAATTGAGGAGAAATTACATTTTTATTGATTTGTATTTACTACGGAGAACTACATACTAGGAGACGAAACGAGATACAAAATTGATCGATTTTTTGTAGTAAAAATGAGGGCGCTTAGAGCTCAGTTTCAAATCGTTTTAAATTAATTTAAATTCAACCAGTCTACTAATTGCTTGGAAAAGAATGCAAAAATGTTGAACTTTACATTCTTACTAAGGTATGAAAAACGAACGACTAAATTTTTCACGAGAAATATGAGAAAAAAAAAATCTGTGCTCCGTTTCATATTTTTCAAAATGCTGCAAATACGGTTGAAGATACAAGAAAAATGTAAGAAAGAAAGTTGTAGAGAATAAAATTTTCTAGAAAAAAGTTTGCGAGACCATACCTCTATCTGTAATGGTTTATGCCTCAAAGACGTTCAAATCCGCTCAAGCGACATTTTTACTGGTGATTCAGTGCCAAAGGAACACTTTAAAGCAATTTAAACCTAAACCGTTGAAGATAGAAATATGGTCTCGGAGACTTTTTTATAGCAAATTTTATTCTCTACAATTTTGTTTCTTACACTTTTTTTGTATCTTTAACCGTATTCGCAGCGTTCTCAAAAATATTGGGCGGAACGCAAACTGATAACTGTTTTTAACACTGTTTTCGATATTTTTGAGAACGCTGCGAATACGGTTGAAAATACAAAAAAAGTGTCAAAAACAAAGTTGTAGAGAATTAAATTTCCTACAAAAAAGTCCCCGAGACCATATCTCTATCTTCAACCGTTTAGGTTTAAATTATTTTTTTGTTTCTTGACCACTGGTAAAAATGACACGTATTGAAGATAGAGGTATCTCTCGCGGACTTTTTCAAAATTTTATTTTCTACAACTTTCTTTTTTATATTTTTTTGTACCTTTCACCTTATTTACAGCATTTTCAAAAATATTTTTTTTGAAAATTACAAAATTGAATTTTTTTTAATATAATTTTCAATAAAATTCAATAAAAATAAAGTCTAGGTATCCGTAGTATTTACTAACAAACAAACAGAAAAAGAAAACAATTTACTGGTTTACAGTTTTATCATAATTAACACCTGTTGGTTCCCTTTAGTTGTTTTCGCAACAAGTTCACTAATCTTGTTTGTTATTTGTTCATTTCTGTAATTTATATTGAGATAAGTTCAAAAAGTGAGCACTTCATTTGATTGAATTAAAAATAATTCATAAGTGACGATGCTTCCGGCCATCTAAAACAAACTGTAATTTTTTATAGTAAAGCAGAAATTGGCGTACGCTAAAAAGAAGTCCTCTCGTAATTGTGAAAAAGTCATTTCCTGTAAGTGCAACCGGTTGAGAGTGAATCTGAAAGGCGAATCGTTCAATCTGTGAAATAAATAATAAATTACTGATTCTTGAATAAAAAATGTTGTTACATCAGTGTTGTAGATGTCGGAACTCAATGATAGAAGGTAATTCATCGATTTCTTGCTTTCATCGTTAATATTTGATGCAAAAAGTGTTACTGCTATTGTTCGTAAAACTAAAAGACCAAAAGAAAATGAAAAGTAAATACTTTCAACTGGTGTTGTTTTAACGAGACTAAAATTGATCAGATTATTTTAAGTGTGTTGCGTTTTTGATTTACCTAAGGCTCCAATACAGTTGAGACACTATGAAAAACATATTTGTACCAAAAGAGACTATAATGAGGGTGCTTATTTTATTATTAACAGTTTTGCACAAGACTGAGATTTGATTGTAGTCTTCTCTTAACTTGATCCAATGATGTTTGAAGTGTATCTAAAATAAAATAAATCAATGTTTATAATTGTTTAATAATGCTTGAACCTTTTCATTATGTGCTACTATAACTCCTGCAGTGACCTGTCGAAATTTCTCGCTAAGAGCGATACTTATAATTATTAAAAATCCATCTAGAAAATTCCACACAAATACGTTGCAAAGATTCATTACCTACAACTAAATCGATTAATTTCGTTTGTGTGATTCTGATCCATTTTTACCACAGCGAAAATTGCTAAAGGTATCGAAAACTCAAAAAAATTAAATAAATGAGGATAACTTTTAATAAAATAAGTTGAGTATTTATCTTCAACATCTGATGGAATTTGAGACCAATTGTTCACTATTGATAAAATATGTTCAACTGTAACAGAACAATATGTAATTAAATGTTTTTTTCTATAATTAAACAAGTTGGTTTACACCTGCAGCTGCTGACATTATCGTAGAGATTACCAAATAAAATTTTCTTTTCAAAGATTTGTTATTTTTCCAATTAGCAAGAGATGTTTCCACACGACTCCATTTCCTAATCAGTTCAGGCCAACTCTTGGCCAAATTGAAAAATATTATTCCTTCAATAGCGGCGTTTGCGTTAAAAATAAAACTACCTACAATCAGTTACCAATCAATACTAAATTATTTTTGTTTTCGTTGAAATTACTTAAACGGTGTAAGTTGAAGCCAAAATAAATAATCGTGTATAAAGAAATGAACATTAAAAAACTCGACCCGAGAATTATAATTAGTGACATTGCCACTCTTTTTGAGCGCCAGGAAAAAACTATTTCGTCTAATTTATTGCCAGCATTGCCTTTAAAAGGCAAAAGTCCAAAAATTTGTGCAAGAATAATGATACCTTTAATATCTTTGTGAAATTGTGGTATGTGCAATACATTAGACTGGAACATGTTTGTGAATTAGGTAACACACTTTATTTGTATTTATAAGTTGACGCTTGATTTTATCATTTTTGTTAACTCAACACATAAATTATTTATTTTGTCACTGCGTTGTACGGGAGCCTAATTAGACAAGGTGAGTCTTGAAATGAAAGGAAAAGTTATGATCAATAATACGTAAAAAATGCAAAATTAATTGAATAAAACTTTTTTATTTTTATAAAATGTCAACAAATGATACCACTTAACCCCACCTAAACAAAGAAAATCGATGCACTTATAGCTTTGAGAGCGTGACGTCAATAAATATCGAGGGGAATTAGTTGTACAAATTTTTTGTCAATTATTTGGAATTACAGTGGAACTTCTCTATAACGAGTAAATTGTCTGGTCCCTTGCCGTTTTGTATATCTACTACTCTATGTAAAATTTTCCCTCTATAGCGAGTATTTTTCTGAAATTGAGGTAAATATAACAAAACTTTTATTTTGTCTAAGACCGGTAATAGCGAGAAATTCTGAGAAATTTCGGAAACAGATCGGTTATAACGAGAGTTTCTAGAAGAAATAAAAATCCTGCGAGTTGTGTACCAGAATTTTTTTGGAAATGTTGTTTTTGCGCACTAATGGTCTTATTTTTCTCACTTTCTCAGTTTTGAATAACTTTTCAAGCAGAGTCTTTCTGTATCAATATGTCGTCCTCGAAGAGAAGAACGTTTTCTATCAAAGAAAAAATATCAATAATAACAGAGTTTGAAAGTGGTAAAAAACAAGCTGTAATCTGCAAAGAGAAAAATTTACCCAATTCTACATTAACAACAATTTTAAAGAACAGGGACAAGATTACGAGTTCAACTGGTGAATTTTCGTCAAAAGTGCTAAAAATGCTAAATTAGATTAGATAAAAATGCTTCATTATAAAAAACAAACAAAAATTACAGATTTTTTTATTAAATACAGGCTGCACCAGAACTCGCGCCCCAGAAAAAATTTTCAAGTAAGGTCAGATACCAGGAACATGAAAAAAATGTTTAAAAAATTCTGTCAAAAAATTTTGACATATATTTTTTGACATTTGACATTTTTTATATTTATTTAAGGATACTGCTGATCTTGTATATGTTTTTTTTTACAATTATTTAGTAAAGGGACAAAAATTTTGCCACTAAAAGCCACAAATGACATTGAACAGAGTTACAATTTAGGATACAGCTTCCTTGTTTCCTCTTTTAATAGCCTGTAGCAAAAAAACTTGGAAAGTTATTTTTCCAACAGAAATAAATAGAGTCAAAGTGCAAACTTTAAACCGTCATAACTTCGAAATTTTTATAGATAAAATTTTTTTAACATTTTTTCCATGTTCCTGGTATCTTACCTTATATGGCATTATTCTCTGGGGCGCGAGTTCTGGCGCACCCTGTATTGTTTTAAACTTCTTTAATATTCATATTTCATAAAATAATTTTCATAGTACATGTTTAAAAACTTTTATTATCTATGACAGTTTGTAGCGATTATAACGAGCAAATACGTTAGCCTTTTTGAGTTTTCGTTATAGAGGGGTTCTACTGTATTAAAATTATCTTTGGTTTGTTTAGAATTGCTGGAATTTTTCTAGAATGACCGAATTTTTTTTTTGGAATTATCAGAGATTCTTAGAACTAACGGAATTAATTTGGAATTATAAGAATTAATTTGAAAACAAGGGAATTTCAGTGAATTTTTTTTGAAACTAGTAGTATCACAATCACCGTACAAATTATTTAAAATTGAAAAGTTTAGTAGTGTTTTTTAAGAAATTTTTGGTAGTTTTTTTTTCACTTTTGGTTCTTATTCCGCATATTTTTTTTTTTTCCTCTATACTTACCAAAGGTGGTGAGATTGTATCCCGAATGAATAATTCTGTAAAACGTTGTCGTGGTTGAAAGGATTGATCCGAAGATGATAATATTTGAGTAAAAGACTTTTGTCGAGTACCAACTAAAAGTTAAATCAAATTTTTCCGAAGTCACGCCATTTACTGGTAAAAGACCAAAGGTTTGTCCAAGTAAGACAATCCATTTGATTCGGTGATGAAACAAATCGTTTTGTGTATTATTATTAGAAAAAACCTTCATTATGCTATTTATGGTTTTATTTGAGTAAAATTTACATCAAGTAATTGTTAAAAGCAAATCGTTTCGTTTGCTTGCATGTACTTGTTTAGCGTGGCTTGATTAAACTGGATTAGCACCAGTTCGTATGTTATAATGGCTGCTGCCACCTTAAAAACACTGTCAATATTTTTACATGTTTACGTAGGAAGAAAACATACACTTAATACAAGACCTTTAGTGAGGCGAAAAAAATTATGGCCGGTCAATGCGGCTAAATCGATATGTGTTTGAGTTACTAATCGTCGAACCTGAAAATGTTTTTATACAGGGGGTGTCAGAACTCGTGCCCTAGAGAAAAATTCCAGGTAAGATAAGAAAGATACCAGGAATTATCTAGTGAAGGTATAAAATTTTGCCAATAAAAGCCACAAATAACATTAAACAGAGTTACAATTTAGAATATCATTGTGTTCGTCTCAGTGAAACAAATTAAATGCAATAAAAAAAAATTCAAAAAGTCCACACACCTTGAACTAAACAATTTTTTTTCTAATTTAAATGAATTTGAAATACTTGAACTTTAAAAAATCATTACTCAATAACTGCTAGGCCGATTTCCTTCAAATAAAGACCATTCTAAAGGGATGGACTTGCCCTGTAAAATGATATGCAATTTGAAATTGAATATTGGCGAAGTAAATCGAAGTAATCTAAGAAAAATCCTACGAGTAATTTTTTTTTCTTTATACCATCGTGTAGAGCATCTTTTTATTAGTTAGAATCCAAATTTTTAAAATAATATACCGAGTATTTTTTAAGATATGATTTTTTGAAGTTAAGGTTTGCTATTCAGGCATTGTGCCATATAGGAGAAATGCATGTTAATTTTACTTAAAATTGCATTTTTATAAAAGTATTTGTTTTAAAACTTTTCTTTTGCTTAAAAATGGTCAATCGGCCTAACAGTTATTAAGTAATTTTTTTTTAAACTTATAGTATTTCAAATTCATTTAAATTAGAAAAAAAATATTTAGTTCAAAGTGTGTGGACTTTTTGAATTTTTTTTATTGCATTTGATTTGTCTCACTGGGACGAACAAAATGATATACAGTATGTCCCCTGATTGAGTTTACAAGAGAAAAAAAAATTATCTTTGATTTTACAAAAAAAAAAGTTTTTGCAATTAAAATTTCTTGTTTTTGGACTTGGAATAATTTTTCTCTGCTTTTTAAGTCTTATCACATTGGCGGTTTTAATTATTTGACAACTATATGTCACTTAGACAAATAATTTATTAATTAAATAATGATAGTTTTTGTTAAAGAATACCTTAGAGCTGTTTCTTTGAGTTGCTGTTTATTAAAATTATGTTTTTTACAAGTCCAGAATCAAAAGAAAAATGAACTTTTCTTTAGAATTTTTAGTTAGAATAAAGAAGTTTTAATTACAGATTTGCTAGTTTCAAGTAAAGCAAAAACTTTTTTTTCTTTGCAATTTTGGCGTTAAATCAGAGATAATTTTTTTTCCTCTTGTAAACTCAATCGGGGACATACTGTATAAGTTGTCACGAAATGACTTTTTTTTGTCGCCCTGTGTAAGTAGAGAATGCAACATTTAAACTCTTAACTTCGAAATTTTTATAGGTAGAATTTTTTTAACATTTTTTCTGGTATCGAACTTCTCTGGAGCGCGAGTTCTGGCGCACCCTGTATTTATTTGATTTGGAAATACGCAACAAACCTCTTCATTGTAATGTTCAGTCGGAAGAGATGTAAGATAAGGTAATCCAGCTTGACTTTCTTCGTTAATAAATGCACCAAAAATTGAGACACAAACAATTCTCATTATAACAAAACCGAAAGAGTAGAAGAAGTAGAGGGTTTCACCAGCAGATTTCATTTGTCTAATAATGTGCAACTAAATTATTGTTTGATATTTTTTACACTTACCGCAAACTGTTGAATAATTGGATGAGAATAAATGTTAAATTACAAGAAAACGACAGTAGGACTAAATTGGATAAAATCTGATCTAAATAACGTATAATATTAGTCAGATGATCGTAATCTTCACGAATTTGACGCCAAAATTGCAATTCAGCTTTCTGTAAATTGTCACTATCAGATAAATAAAAAAATAAGCGAAAAAAATGATTTACTGGAACATCAGAAGGATATATTTTAATAAACTTCTTCGAGTTTGAATCCAGAGTTAGATGTGGAATAAGTTCTTTCGCTTTCTTTTTAATTTGTTGATTAATTTGTCGAAATCGTTCAGTCATTATTATACTTAATAGAATTATAAAAATGTCTCCAAAATTCCACACAAATGCCGCTGTCCAACTAACAAACTGAAATTATTTCAAAATTGGATAATAATGTCCAGTTTTTGAATACCGTCAAGCATAATCCAAAAACGGAATGGTAGGGCATGTAAGTAAAAACGTAGTGAAACTGTTTCTTGAAAAAATACTCAGCACCTGTTGAATTATTTTCACACTTGGACGAATACACGTAATTAAGCATTGACAAACTGTGTTCGAGCAAAGCAACAAAAATCATTGCTGAAGCTGAATAAGAAATCTTTTTATGTAAATCTGTCGTCGTTTTGTAATGCTTGAGTAAGTTGTTCTCGATTTTTGTCCACTCGTTTAAAAACAGAGGCCATTTGGACGCTAGTTGGCTGAACAACACCGACGTCATGAAAGAATGAAAGAAAAAAAGTGGAGTGACTGAAAAAGAATTGATTGACTTGTATTGTTTGCACTTACTTAGCTGGTTTAATAAAATTCCGATTTTAAAAGCTTTGTAAAAGGAAAACGTCGCACAAAAGAGGTATCCGAAGGAAATGAGACTTGTGTACAAAACTTTCCACGATTTGAATCTAAATTCGAGATTTTCCGGGTCATCATTTAAGTGGTTTAAAGGGAACACACCCACGATTTGGGCCAATAGTAGCACTTTTTTCAAACAATTGTGGGTGGTTGGTAATATTTCGAGTTTGGGTTTGGTGCTGCTTCTGATTTTTTCACAGAATTCAGCAAACACCATGTTTGCGACTGATTTATTAGATTTTGCAAGACGATCAGATATGGAGTATATTTTTATCACTGTTTTTACATGTCTATCAATGTGTGTTGTTTCTATCATAATTTGTTTTCAGAGTTAAGTGAATGAGTTTTGTTTAGTTTTAACAAGTACTTACAGCCCATTTTAACCGGATTTTGAATAATTAATTCGTTGTTTACACGGAAGAAATTTTCCAGAAACACGTGCCATAAATAGATAGAAATAATAGATTTATTAAGGAAAATCGGGGCGAAATTCAAATTTGTTTTCTTGTGTAATTAACGCGGAAGGGTTTATTATTCTAAGAAAATATGGTCAATCGATAATTGACTGTGAATAAACACGAATATGAAAGAGAAATAAATTGAACTTTAACTTTGGCGATATTTAGATGTTTGTATTTTGCTTAATCCAAGGCAGGAAAGCCGAGACTAATAACTAAAAATTTCATAATTCTATTAGTTTTCTTATAGTTGAGCTTCAAAATTTTGTAAATATTTTACCTGAGACAATTTCATAAAATACAAAATGAAATTATTTTTACTGTCTTTTGCATTTGCTATTTTTACCGCGTCTCCTCATGGACTTCAAGCGAGTGTTACACATTTAAGAACTGTTTAATACATAATTAAAAATTTGGTTGTTTTTATTTCTTTTTAGTGTTATAATTCTTATACCGACCTTTTTGACACACCCAAAATAATTGTTTTGTGTGTTTTCTTCAAAAGACTTTTTTAAATTAAATCATGATCAAATTAAAATAATAATTAATAGTAAGTACGGGGATTCAAATACATTTTGCAATATTTGTATTTGTTCTTAATATTGTTTTCTAAATAAACACGAATATGAAAGAGAAATAAATTGAACTTTACCTTTGGCGATATTTAGATGTATTTTGCTTAATCCAAGGCAGGAAAGCCGAGACTAATAACTAAAAATTTCATAATTCTATTAGTTTTCTTATAGTTTAGCTTCAAAATTTTGTAAATATTTTATTTGAGACAATTTCATAAAATACAAAATGAAATTATTTTTACTGTCCTAAAAAGCATTTGCTATTTTTACCGCGTCTCCTCATGGACTTCAAGCGAGTGTTACACACTTAAGAACTGTTTAATACATAATTAAAAATTTGGTTGTTTTTATTTCTTTTTAGTGTTATAATTCTTATACCGACCTTTTTGACACACCCAAAATAATTGTTTTGTGTGTTTTGTTCAAAAGACTTTTTTAAATTAAATCATGATCAAATTAAAATAATAATTAATAGTAAGTACGAGGATTCAAATACATTTTGCAATATTTGTATTTGTTCTTAATATTGTTTTCTAAATAAACACGAATATGAAAGAGAAATAAATTGAACATTATCTTTGGCGATATTTAGATGTTTGTATTTTGCTTAATCCAAGGCAGGAAAGCCGAGACTCTTGTGTACACATCAGGCACTCCTCTGGCACAAGGAGCCCCCCACGAGACCAATCCGATCAATTTCACTCTTTCTCCAATTTCTTCCACAAGGGGGCCCCCGGAATCCCCATGACAAGCCCCTTCACCGGTCTGTGTCAATGTGCAAATTTCAGATTGAACGATGGTTTCAGTAGACCAAACTGATTTACAATGTTCATATGTAACAGTTTTCAAATTGAGAAATTGTAAATCGTTGGGAACTGATCCGGGATAAGAAGTCCTTCCCCACCCAATCAAGGTGCAATTTCGCACAACATCATTCTCCTCGCTTTCCAAACTGACTATTTTTACCAAATCTGTTTCTTGAATGGGATTTGCTAGTTTAAGAAGGGCAATGTCGTTGATTACCACGCTCCGGTTGTAATCGGGATGGACGATGATTTCGGATAGTGAGGCACGAACCCCTTCTGTATTTAGCTGATTGGTTCCTGCTACCACACTTAGGGATGAAGGGCGAGCACTAAAAATCCAATTTAGTTATTGCAAAACTAATTTTTGGGATATACTTGTGAACACAATGAGCGGCAGTAACGACCCAATTGTTGGCAATCAATGAACCCCCACAAGTATGGGAATTTGACTCTGTTCTCAAAGAAATTATAAAAGGGAATTGACCAGGAGAAGCTGTTGAGCCACCGACAACGCGCCAATCAATTTTTGGATCAATTTTTACAACATTTGCTAGATATCAATTGTAAATTGTAAATTGTGTACTAGAAATATTTTACCTAAAGAGGATCCTACAGAAAGGACAACAAACAATATTACACTTTTCATGATTGATTTGTGTCTACTACTTTTAATAAATTTGAGACTTCTTTTATATTACAACGGATGAGGAAATTTAGCTATCATACGTGATAAAACTTTAGTAGGATAAATTGAAGGTTTAGGATGATTTATTGCCAATCATCAAAAACAATCCGGTCAGAATTAAAAAAAATACTACTACAAAAAGTTGAATATTACCTCTACTCTAAAAAATTAAGGAAACAATTTTTTTTTAACAGGCTGTTTCTCAGTGCAAAATGGTCGAATTATGTTTCTTGTTTTGAGATTTTCTGGCAAAAATTTCTTGGAGCTACGTTTTTTCTTGAAAATAGCGCAAAAAATAATTAATAAACTTGTTTCTTTTATTCCGTTGTAGAACTTTAATCAATCAGTGCGAGAAAACGGTTTCATCAATCGATTTAAAAATTTACAGTGCAATTTTTTCAACTTTAAAATTGATCGATATAACGTTTTTTACATTTATAGAGGTCTTAAAGACTTAAAAAAAAATGAATTTTTCGAGTTTTGAAGGTAAGCTGTAGTAAAATCGTAAAAATAGTCAATTTACCTTAAGTCGCTTGAAATATGATTTTTTTGACGTAAAATTACGCTCTGAACACGATTTAACAAGTTAAAATACTTTACGATGCGTTTTTGAGATATTGAGTAATAAATTTATGAATAAGACTAGAAACATCCGATTTTGACCAAAAATCAATTTTTTTTTATTCTTATGAAAAACTAGGTTTATATGTAAAATTAACCGTGAACACGCCTGTACAAACCGTTTAAATCTAGGTCTCAAAGTTTTTGAGATATTAATTTTTTATTAAAAAAACTAAAAATGGCTCTGTACCCGGAACTATAACCCGGAGCGCCTCCGGATTTAGTCCATTAAATAGATAATTTAATGTAGATTCTGATGTTTTTTAGCATTTTGCTGTAGGTTTTATAGATTCGTAGAAAAACGCATTTAAAGTTTCACAATTTTGACAATTTTCACTTTTTGAACGGCGATTACGGCCAAACTATTAGACTTAGAGCAAAAAACTCGACACCATCGTAATCAGCGTAATAAAATCTATCGACTGAATCCAAAGCCAAGTCGATATATCGCAAAAAAAATTTGAATTTTTAAACGTGTTCAAAAACACTAGTTTTTAAGTAAATAGCTGCAAAACTGTACATCAATGATATAACATTTTGACGGAAACCTATGTAAAATGTTCCGGGGAATCGATTGGCGTCAAGAAAATTTCAAAATTCGTAATAGTTTTGAAGTTATAAGCGGATTTATATTTTTGATATTTTTTACTTTTTCAGAAATTTTCTCGATAACTATTTATCGTAGAGCACTGATCGTTTTTATATATGATATAATATTAAATTTTCTTTCCAACGGTACCAAACATAAGAGGTTATCTCCAATAAGTCCGGAGTTATTGCCAATAGATCTCTCCGGGTGCCAAAAATCGACCAAAATCTCGCCAAAAATCAAAAAAATTTTCAACGTTAAAATTGATCCATTATACGTTTTTTACATTCCAAGAGGTTTTAAAGACTTAAATAAGTGCATAAAATGCCATTGGGTCAACTTTAAAATATTTCGAATTTTTTGAATGATGAGCGGTAGTAAAATCGTAAAAATAGTCAATTTACCTTAAGTTGTAAAAACGCTTGAAGTACGATTTTCTAGACGTAAACACACGCTGAACACAATGCAACAAATAAATAAAATACTCTACGATGTATTGGTTTTGATATATTGAGTAATAAAGGTAAGAATAAGCCTAGATTTTGCCCAAAAAAACAAAAATTTTTGATTCCTATAAAAAACTAGTGCTGTATGTAAAATTTACTGGAAAAGTCTTATAGTTTAATTTTGTCTAAAGATATTAAAACTAGAAACAATGATTTGTAATTACCTCTAGAACATATCATTGGCGACTTATCTTATTGTTTCTTAATTATAAACGAAGAATTTTTTATTGAAATAGTAAAAACAAATTGTTTACCAATTGTAATATTTACGATTTTTTATCACCCAGACTAAAAAAAACAATCAATTTCAAAAGATTGATCAATAAATAATAATATTTTTCACATTTTTGAGTATAAAAGGTAGGAGCAAACTTGCACTTTACAGTTCATTCAAGATTCAAAGCAATGAAAGCAATAGTAATGTTATTAACCCTCTTGGGAGTTTCAACAGGTGATATAAAAAATTGATTTAAAAGGTGTACTATTTTTTTATAGCTCATTTTGAGGACTTTGAAATAACCAATAACTGGCGTGTTGTTGGTGGTTCAACTGCAAAACTCGGTCAATTCCCTTTTATCATTTCTTTACGAATCGGGGCGAATTCTCACACTTGCGGTGGTTCTCTCATTGCTAAAAATTGGGTGATTACTGCAGCTCATTGCGTTGCTGGGTATTATTTCACAAGTTTTTTGTTAAAAGGGACTTTTTATTTTTTTTTGAAGTGGTCAACCAGCAGCCTACACTGTGGTCGCAGGATCAAACCAATTAGATTCACCAAATGCAACAAGAATCGCTGTGGAAAAAATTATTGTGCATCCGGATTGGAATCCTAGTTTGATCACCAACGACGTTGCTTTGCTTAAATTGGCAACACCTATAGAAGAGAGTGCTTTTATTCAAATTATAGGTTTAGAAAGCGGAAATGTTGATGCTGTGCGAAATTGTACTTTGATAGGATGGGGAAGAACTTCCTATCCTGGAAATATTCCAAACGATTTGCAGTTTTTGGATTTGGTTTCGTTGCCTTTCACCGAATGTAAAGACAGATGGGCGAATCTAAAACCGGTTTATCCCACCGAAATTTGCACTTTTACTAAAAGTGGAGAAGGAGCTTGTCATGGGGATTCTGGAGGTCCACTTATTGATGAAACTAAGAAAACGCCGGTACTTATTGCTTTAGTATCGTGGGGTTCCCCCTGTGCTAGGGGAATGCCAGATGTTTATACGAGAGTTTCTTCTTTCTATCAATGGATTATAAAAACAATAACATATTAAATAATTATGTATTTCAGTTATTATTTTTGTCACTTTTATTATATGAATAAATACAAAACATTGTAAACGACGTATTTTTATTTTTGTTTTTTTTACCGTTGGATTATAATTAGTGTAGATAAATGTTATAAATACAATAACAATAAATCATTATACAATGATTTTTACATTCTCTCCCAGACAGGTTTAAATTATTATCAGATTATTACAAATTAAAATTTTATCTTTTAAGTACCTATATATTTCTCATTTTCAATAGAAGTTTCAAAACAGTTTACAAATAATTAGTTTAATCGCAAATATAAAAGTTTTACCTTTCAGCCATGGAGTAACAATTTTTGTGCCTAAGCGTTTTTACTTTTACTATGACATTATTGACATTTACCATTGTTGTTTCATCGTTGCTTCAGCAATTTTTGGAGAGGTTACCTTGTAAATCATTAGCATTCGATATCTTGCACTACTAACTGCACTAGTTAAATTAATAAACATTTTTGAAAATCTCAACCCAAATTTCCATAATGACGCGTGATGTTATGATTTCATTAGTTGCAAAGCGTCTTGATTATTTTGTTCATTTACTTGCTAATTACAGTTACTCTCGATCTGAATACGTTGGCAAATAAAATGGGTTCTGTTATTCGGAATAAAAGTGAGTTTATGTGGCTCAGCTGAACTATTTGCCTCACTACGTTCGGCAAAAGAAACATTCAGGCTAGCCATATAAACTAATAATAAGTATCACTTTTACTCATAATAACATAATACAGGGTGCGCCAGAACTCGCGCCCCAGAGACAAAGTACGGTAAGATACCAGGAACATGAAAAAATTTTTTTAAAAATTCTATCTGTCAAAAAATTTTGACATTTATTTTTTGACATTTGACTTTTTTTTATATCTATTTAATGATACTGATGATCTTGTATATGTTTTTTTACAATTATTTAGTAAAGGGACAAAAATTTTGCCAGTAAAAGCCACAAATAACATTGAACAGAGTTACAATTTAGAATAAAGCTTCCCTGGGTCTTGTTATAATAGCCTGCAGCAAAAAAACTTGAAAAATTATTTTTCCAACAGAAATAAATAGAGTCAAAGTGCAAACTTTAAACCCTCATAACTTCTAATTTTTTATAGATAAAATTTTTTTAACATTTTTTCCATGTTCCTGGTATCTTACCTTATATGGCATTTTTCTCTGGGGCGCGAGTTCTGGCGCATCCTGTATACTATTTTACACTTATTCGAATTTTTATATGTTTAATTGTTGTTATATTAAATAATAAAAATAATGATCAGTTCATTACACTTACAATCTTGAAATAAATGTTTAATTTTCTATGCACAGATCGAGTAAATTTAAAAAATTATTTATTCTTTGAGGTTTATCATATTATTTTTTAAGCTAAGAATAGTGTTTTCGACACGAATTCACTTTGAGTATGCATAATTTAGTATTGATTGTTATCAAAGCTAATGTTTAACAATCAATGGAATGTTTCTCATCGTTTCATTTCAATAAACACAATTAATTATTCAAAAGTTTTTAATAAAAAAAATACACAATAGAACATCAATTTAAAATAAAATAAAATACAAAATAAGTTAATCACAAGAAGTGTTATAAAAAATTCGATCAAAATTGTATCACATTTGTAATTTTATTAATTAGTATCTACTTACACCTAAAAATTGTTTTATTTTCCTTACAATATTTGCATTCAACGTTAAATATTTCCTTGCGCCATCTACACATGCATTTATTAATTTCTGGGATTTGTGTGGTATAGAATCCTCTTCCGCAACATAAAGTGGCGCAGTTTTCTGTATTATTACAATGCCTCTCGACTGTTGAAGGACAAAAGTTTGGACTGTTTTCCAAAAAGACAAGTTTTTGCCCCGTTTTCCCGCTTTTGTAGGGTCGTATATAATTCTCGTGTTCCACATAGATGGCGCTGTGATACAAACCTTTCAATTGTTTCGATACGTAATCAAAGGCTTGAATTTTTCTAAAGCAAACTTTGAGGCCGCAAGAACCTGAAATTTTTCAAATTCGTGTAAATTTAGCATTACTTTGAGTTTTTCAGACCTGAAAGTCCGTGACATTTGCACTTAACTTGCACATTGTTTATTACGACTCTGATTCCGACTTCTGAATTATATTTGACGATGGGATTTTGATGTCGGAGATCTTTTTTTCTCAACTGTAAAAATCTCGTACTGAATTTTTTGGCGAATTTGATGTTATCGCTGCAACCGCCCCATTGCCATTCAGTGGAATTTAAGGATTTGCCATGTTGGCCACACTGACACCCTGCCAGAGTGCCATCAGAGCAGGCCCTGGCTATGGAAAATGTTAGGGCCGCCGCCGCCATGGCATGCATGAAAGCAGTTTCTCTGTAGATTTTTTTGAAGAAAAATTCGCGATTGGAGCAGTTCCACTGATCGAATCTGCAACAACTAATGTAGTTTCAGTCTGTCAATGTTTCAAGTGTTTCACTCACCGGAATTGATTCTGACACGAAATTATTGATAAGTTTCTTGCGTTTAAAAGAACGTCCGGGAGACCTCTTTGGCGCCAACATATTTTACTTTGATATTTTAGACGACTTAGCCAAAAACACGGATTTTTATTAAATGGAGTGTTGTTGTTGGAACCTGAAAAAACTAGTGCGGCGAAAGGTTTCTTCCGTTGAGCTCTTAGTGCCGTTGATACTCTGAAAGGTTATTATTTGTAGATTTTTTTCTGTTGTTTCAAATGTTCTAATAAGGAATTTCAACATCCGCTCAAGTGATAAAAGCGGAAATGATAGTTTAATGGGTGTGATATTTGCTTTAAACCAACTTTTAGACATTTTTCAAGCAATATTAGTGTTTTTTTCTATTTCGCGTCCGATATTACGATTTTGTAACACTGTTTTATCCAAAAACTAAAACTATTTTTGTGGATCAATGTTTTTCACTAAAACAAATGAGAAATTTGGAAATTTTATCAGTTTTAAGTGTCAAATATAACAATAAATACAATTTAACAAGTGCTCAATAGAAAAAGTAATAAAAAAACCTGTTACAACCTGTAAACTAGGACTTGTATTTCAATGAGGATGTTTGAAGGTAACATTCAGGGTTTCCCAGCGAGTTGAAAAAGTCCAATAGTAACCTTTAAATAATAAAATTTAAAAATATTATATAGGACATTGATAGATACTAATCCAGTCCATCGCCTAAAATTATTTTCAACTATACAGCGAGTCTCAAAAATAAGTTACAATACAAACTTGTGTTTTTTTAAATGAAACACCATATGTTTCTTAGCGTTTTTGGATTTAGATTTTTATGTCAATGTTTTTAAGCTAAACTCTTATTGCTCGATTTTGCTTAGTTTTAAAAATAAGACGTTTTTTTGACGAAAATATGCACTTTTAAAAATTTATTACACAAAAACTAAGACATCTAGAAATATTTTTTACTACCGCAAAGAAGAAAGTACAAGCTATAAGGTTGTAACATTTTTTTAGTGTGTTGACTTTGCAAAGATAAAAAATAAAGGCGTTTGTTAAAAGTTCAATAACTTAAAAAATTTTAATGAAACACCCTATTTATTGTTTTTGCATTTAAGAGATTATTAAATTGTCTTTCTAAAATTATTTACTTTTAGGTGTTTACAATAAATAACTAAAAGATATTTAACGTTAAATATTAAAAAAAAATAATTACTATTGTTTCAGTAGCTAATAAGTGCACAGTTGCACAAGAGATGGAAAAAATATCACTTCATCACATTTGTGTTAAACTAAATTCATTATTCTTTATTTTTACAATATTTTTTTTTTTATTTTTCAATTGTAGACATTGAAAGTTATTTTTTTTAGATAGACAATTTACCAATCTATTAGATGCAAAAATAAAAAATAGGGTGATCCATTTATATGTTTTAAGTTATTTAACTTTTAACAAACTTCTTAATTTATTAATCTTTACAAATGCAAAACATTAAAAAAATTGCTTCAGCTTTAAATTCTGTATTTTCTTCTTTGCAGAAGTAAGAAAAAATTTGTTCTAGCTGTCTTAGTTTTTGTGTAATAAAATTTTAAAAAGTGCTTTTCTTCATCAAAAAAAACGTCTTATTTTTTAAAACCAAGCAAAATCGACTAATAAAAGGTTAAGGTAAAAACATTGTTTTAAAAGGCTTCATTCAAAAATACAGTGTTTCATTTAAAAAAACACAAATTTGTGTTGTAACTTATTTTTGGAACATGCTGTATAGTTGAAAATAATTTTAGGTGATGCACTAGATTAGTATCTATCAATGTCCTATATATATATTTATTAAATTTTACCATTTAAAGGTTTATAATAAAATTTTCGACTCGCTGGGACACCCTGTATACAGAGTGAACATAAAGTATGGAACAAGTGTTTTTTTTAATCTTTTTTCTCTAAAAAATAATAATTAATATAAAAAAATGTGATCGTATTTTGAAAAAGAAATTTTATTTTGTTTTTGAGTTATGCGTTTTGCAAAATTGCAGTTTTTTTTTAAATTAAATATAAAGTAAATAGTTGTAATCCTTAGATCATAACCTTTATGAGAAAAATGATTTAACAGTGGGTTGCTATTTAAAAAAATTGAAAATTTTGTAGAACCCAAAAACAAAAAAAAATTGGAAAAATTTTATTCTTGAAAAAACATTAATTTTTTATTATACTTTATCAGTTTTTTTTTTAACTAAATAGAGTAAGCAAAAACGTTTGGTTCCATACTTTTTATTCACCTGGTATACATTTAAATACACAATTTTTAGACATACCTATTTGGAGTTTCACTGGTACTAAAAATATTTATTACAAGTAGGAGAAAAATACAAGATAACATATTTATGCGTTTTAATTTTCATCGCCACTAATTTGCGTCTGCTTCGGGAACAATTGAAAGTAAAACTAATGAGCTAACATGTTTAACATGTTTAAACGTTTACTTGACTCTCCCAAAACTAAACTTCTTTGAAGAAATTACCATAGAGAGATTTTCTAAGGAAGAACACGTAACTTAAAAATTATCTTAAAAAAAAAGATTAGAAAAATAAATAAAAGTGGCAAAAATGTAAAATTTTTAAAATATTTAATATGTGAGAAGTTAGTTTTTATATGATTTGCACTTATTTTTGTGTTGGAGCTAAAATTTGGTTCACTATTAAGGTTGACGTTACCTGTCAATACCCTTCATTTTTATTGACTTAAGAAATCTTAGAAATCTAAGAGCAAACGCTGTCAAAGAAAACAGAGAAACAAAAGCGCGGTCAACTAGACCATTGTCAATAGTCCAATACAAATATGTGTTTTACGGATAGTTGTGTTTTATTGTATTGACTAAATGTCACTTTAACCTGTAAAATAAGCAAATATTCTCGAGTGACAGCACGAAAACCAAACTGTACCTTTCATGCTTAAAGTTTATGACAAATTATCGTAAGCTTTAACAAATATAATGGCAGGATATCTCTTTAAACTACCCTTCTAATGTGCATTAAATACTTCTTCGAAAACTCTTTAAAACAAGTCAACTAGAAAGCAATACAATAAACTCATTATTTTCGAAAAAAAGGTGTCATCTAGAGATGACGTAAGCGGCTTAGCCACTAAAGTCTTGGGGTGGTCCTCGTTTAGTACTAATCGCAGCTTATCTTTTCTTCTATTAAAAAAAATGCTTTGTGTGTTGTTATCAGTTTAGTTTAATTATCTACTTCGGGTTGCTTAATGAAGGGTGGATTAGATAAGTCTTGATCTAATTGGGCCAAGCAAGGGCGGATCCAGGAGAGGGGCCCAGGGGGCCAGGGCCCCCCTCAAACTTGCCAGCAAAAGCTTCAATTTTTTATATTTAAATTTTAATATAAAAACTTTAACTTTTTAAATAAAAACATTAGATTTTTTTTTAAATCACACTTATTAATACAAATCATACATATACCGAGAGATCAAAATAATTTGTAATCGAGTCATTTTTGCATCAGAAAACGTACAGTTGCGGAATTAAAATTTCGGGCTGTCATTTTCATAATGTAAACTCTAAAACAACCTTTATATTAATAACCTTATTTTTTACTCTTGTCATGATGACAGTAAAAGGTAGTATACAGTGAACTTTTTAAAGTGACAGAAAAATAGGTACTGCCCGAATTTTTAATTCCACAACTGCACGTATGTCTGTTTTTGAACTAACTGCAGGTGAAACGTCAAATAAAATGACAAGTCGAAAATGGCAAAATGAGCTGGAATTAGTCGCCGTTGTATAATAATAAGACCGTTTTTTTTTTAAGGTAAATCATAAATTTAGTTATCTTTTTGATCATGGGATTTTACCTTTTCACTTGTCATTTTATTTGACGTTTCACAGACATACGCACAGAACATACGTTTTCGGATACAAAGACAAATTATCTTGATCTCTCGATACTTACTTAGTTTTTATTAATTTAAAAAGAAATTATCAATTATTTCTTTGGGCCACATCTTAGGTATCTAATTATTAATTTATTTATGATTATTTATTATTTATTATTAATTAAATTTATATCTGTTTGAATAATGAACTTTACCAACTCGCTAGAACACCTTATACACAATTTTGAACTTGTTTTAACATTCTACACTTTTTGGTTTTTGGGTAATGACGGCAGCGACATCCTTTGTTTAATGGAAACCCCTAATTTTTTTAGTGAATTCGATAGATTTTTTAAATGTCGAAATGGCAACACCAAAATATTATGTATTACATAAAGTTTTTCAAAAAAAAAATGTCCAAAAAGTGAAATAATATCAATAAAAAACAAAGGTAGAATTTAAAATCAAGTTAATAGTTATTTATTGTAAGAGTGTGTTAGCTAGCGTTTTATTCACGCAAGAATGTTTAATTTTCTTAAGTGGATAAAACGCGTCTAACACACAACTGCAATATAACGTTGTATCCACAATCACAGGCCCAAATTATTCCAAACTTAATTAAAAATTAAACTGACATTTAAACGTCACGCTAAATGTGCTTTCGGTTAAACGTAGTAAGCTGTTACGCTGTGCTGTTACTTTATTCCACTAGTGGATAAAGTGGTACTTGATACGCATCTAAAGTGTGGAATAAAGGCTCTTTATAGAGTGATTGTGGATAAAAAATTTGTATTTTTTAAAAAGAAAATTGCCCTGTTCGAGCATTTTTACAAAACGAAATATTTTCAGTTTTAATAAATAAGATTATTCTATAATTTTGCCGCTCACTGTATATCCTCATAATTCTAAAATTTTTTAGATAGCCCTCCCCCAAAATTAATTCCTGGATCCGCCCCTGGGGCCACGCCGGTTCTGTCTCTGTGTGTTACAAAATACGTTATAATGCCCCTAATTGAAAGTTCTGTCGCTTTGATTTTTCTAAAGCTTTGCTCACAACTCGAGATTAAGATGGCATGATATGGCTATCCGAATGTATTATACCGTTCCCCTATTATAACTTCTTTCAGTAACAGATAGACGAGTACCCTCTTAGCTGCGTTATTGCTTGACTAGTTGGTCTTTTGTTAAATGTTTGCTGCTTCAACTCGAAAGGCCCATTTAAAACTTTACTTTTGTTTGTTATTTTATTCGTGAAATGAATGGAACCAGTCGAACGCAAGATCCGATGATTATAGGTGTAATTTCAATTCATGTTTTCGCAGTTTAGCGCAAAAACGACATCTAACTTTTCTTCGGATGAATAAGTTTCCGGAACATCTCGCAAAGCTATGCTTTTTTAATCGTGCACCAGGAAATGAGACATCTGTTTGTAATACAGCGAAATAAGCGCACAGTAATGTTGTATATAAATCGCAATAATCCGGAACCGCACAGCTTGCAAAGCCGCCGCACAAGAAGAACATCACCGTTAACAATTATTGCTCACGACGATTAGAAACAATTGTTAGTATTGTAAATATTTGTAATTAAAAACGCCAATCATTCTATTGATTACATCGAATCTTGATCTAGATACCTGTGGAGATGCTATATGAGTAATGAATGAGTCCGGACTTACTCACGATCGACGCCTACTATGCTTTCCCACAGTATCAGACTCTTTTGATGCTTATTTGCTCCAATTAATTCCTTCTGGCGGCTCAATCATCGCTTTCAAAATGTTTCTCTTAACCGAGAGGTTGTTGTCTTTGAACTCTTTCAGCAATTTTACCAAATAATAGCGAACCTTGGATTAATACAAAATAAAAAAGTACCTATACAGGGTGTGTCAGAACTCGCGTTCCAGAAAAAAACTTTCTAGTAAGAAACGATACCAGGAATATGGAAAAATATGTTTAAAAAATTCTATCTGTACCAAAAAAATTTGACATTTTTTGTCACTTTTTATCTATTTAATGATACTGATGATTTTGTATATGTTTTATTTTATAAAAGTAGAAAAAATTTGCCAATAAAAGCCACAAATAACATTAAACAGAGTTACAATTTAGGATACAGTTTTCTCTTCTAATAGCCTGTAGCAAAAAAAACTTGGAATAATAATTTTCTAACAGTAATTAATAGAGTCAAAGTGCAAAACTTAAACTCTCATTACTTCGAAATTTTTATAAATAGAATTTTTTAAGATTCTTTTCATATTCTTGGTATCTTACCTTATATGACATTTTTCTCTGAGGCGCAAGTACTGGAACACCTGTTTATGTTTTTTTTTTAATGAAACATCATATTATGTTTGTTGGCATTTTGAACGTTAGTTTTTATTACAAAGTTTTTGAGTTAAACTTTTTTTTTATTGGTCGATTTTAGTTAGTTTTTAAAGTAAGTTGTTTTTTTGACAAAAACGTACTCTTTTTTTTAAATTCATTCCTACACAAAAACTAAGACAACTGAAAATTTTTTTACAACTGTAAAGACTATAAGAATTTTCGTTTGTACACATAAAAAAATAAAAAAAGTTTGTCAAAAAAATTAAATGAAAAACCTTATTTTTTGATTCTGCATTTAAGAGATTATTAAATTATTTTCCAAAAACATTTACTTTTAAGTGCCTACATTTTTTTTCATGTTTCTGGTATCTTACCTTTATTTCTGGAGCGCGAGTTCTGACGCACTCTGTATTTTTACAAAAAGCTTAAATATTAGTTCTTAATGGAATATTTGCAGTTACTGTATCAAAATTTTTTCTTAATATTTTCCAACATAAAAATTCTTGTCCAAAGTTGTTAATTTTAGTCTAAATCAAAATCATCAATTCCTGATTTTTGCATTAATTGCTATTTGCATTTCGTTTTTTAGTCTTAGATATATTTTTTTTAATAATGAGTAATAGTAAATTATATTATTCGAGTAGAAGTGAGGTTTGTCGGGCGAAGCACTGAGATTGAAGGCCGAGCGAAGCGAGGCCGACAACTGGACAAATATACTATTTTATCTTCAAGCGGATCACAAAGAAACGGAAATTTGGACTTACTTTTACTTTTTAACGTTGAACAACCTTGCCATTTTTGATTTTTTTAGTTTGTATCCAGAATTTTTTCTTTTTTTTTTAAGGAAGCAGTGTAGTATAGTTTGCGAGGTAAATGTTTAATCCCACTTTTAACACTGAATATTGCAAAGAGTCGAAAACGATCAAAATTTTTAAGAATTTAGGTACCTATCTTACATTCGTGAATAGCAAACGATTACAATTAATTGTTTACTCTGTTTACGTTTGAAGGTTAAACGACCATCTTGCTATTTTTGATGTATGACATCTATAAATATGGGCAACTCGTGATATTGGGTAATTATTTTGCTATTTCGTTTTTTTTTGAGGCTTTTATTAAATAATTCGTGTAACTATTAATAAACGTGTGAAATGTTTCAAATGACCTCATATTTGACTCGGTCGAGCCGCCCCTGTAAACATTTCAACTCCTAGGACTTGAAGTACACTGGCTGCCAAAATTAATCGGACAACCAAAA